ATATATATATATGTATATATATATATATATATAATGCGAACACCCAATGAAGTTAGGATATGCGGTCCATTTGCATGGCTCAGGAGATTCCACTTGCATGTTCAAGTGTGGACTAACATCGATACATTTGATTTTGCAAGAATCTAGAAATCATATTTGCATGAAAAGGTACCTTTTTGGCCACGCTAGCATCCTTATACCCCAAAGCCCATCTAGTCATGAATCGGATGCCGATGTTAGGGGTGTTCAAATTGTTAAATTGAACTAAACTAGAAGAAAATTAAACTAAACTATAATAAATAGTTCATTAAACTAAATTGAACTAAAATAAATATTGACTAAACTAAACTAAACTATTATCTACTTTAGTGCATTATAGTTCTAGGAGTTTGAACTAAACTATAATATCAACTAAATAAAACTATTATTAACTATAAACTAAATTGAACTACATAAAAAAAAACAAATTTAAAATCAACTTTTTTAAATTGAGCTACCAAATCATCGATATTAATTATGAATTGACACTACTATAAATTTTTTTATGACATGCGATTTTTCCTGCGAATTTTTTATAAAAATTTGCAGGAAACGTTGTTTCTACAAATTTTTTTGCGAAATTTTATCTACAGGTAATAACTTCGTGGATAATATGTTTTTGCGAATTTTAAAATTTACAAGAAATTTTCCAGCGAAATTTCTTGCAAAAAAAATCGCAGGAAGGTTTCCTGCAAAACAAATCACAGAAAAGTTTCTTGCAAAAAAAATTCGTAAGAAAGTTTTCTGCGAATTTTTTTGCAAGAAATTCTGCAAGAATATTTTTTACGAAAAAAATTAAAGAAATTACTAATGATCACAATAAATTTATCCGAAGCATTTGTTTTCACGCCCCAAAATGTGATATATAATCTTTTAAATTCTAAGATTGTAGATTATAAGCCTAACACTCAGCCATACAAATCAACTTATAAGGTAAGTGTTGTCTCAACTTATATATTCTTTAATTGTTTTATTTTCAATTGATGTGGGACTTGAAGTTTTTTTAAAATATTAAACTTATAAATTTAAATATTTTTTTGATTTTTCTTGCAGATTATAATTGACAGGAAAATTCGCAGGAAAAGTTACCTACAAAATTTTTCGATCATTGAGTAAACATTACTTGTAAATTTATTTTTGCAAGAAATAAAATAAAATTTTTACAATATTTTCTGTAAATTTTGACCATGGAAATTTTTTTCTATGATCATTAAAATTGTAGCAAAATTTGCAAAAATTTCTTGTAAATTACTTTTCATAAAAAGATTTATAAGAAATATCTGTAAATTATTTTTATTAAAATAAATATTTTTTAGCATAAAAAATAAAATTATTTAGATAATAAAGAGATAAGTTTGTATATATATATATAATACATTTTTTTAATTTTTATAATATTTATATTAAAAATATTGAAAGAGTAATAATTACGAAAGGTTTATAAATTTTTATTCAATTAATAAATAAAAATTATTTTTTTAATTCTATAAATTAATTATTTATTTAGAACTATAGTGCACTAAACTACTTTTTATAATAGTTTAATTTTTAAAACTAAAACTTAAAATATAGTTTAGTTTAGTTTTTATAAAAATTAGTTTAGTTTTTTATAGTATAATTTAGTTTAGTTTTTACAATAATTTAGTTTAATATAGTTCTTTGAACATCCCTAGTCTACGTTACCAACCTACTCCATCATGTCAAGATTTTATGCCATACACCTTGGTTTAAATGTCACGTTAATTTGGTTTTCCTACCTGATATATCCAAACGTGTGCATGCATTAAATTCCACCAATTTGTTAGAATTTTTTAATGCACCATTCGACCAACTAATACCACCTACATACTTTACAAACACCTAGCCATACGGGTACGCGCCACTTGGCCACCAAGCATCACATGCACACTTTAAAACATCTAGCCAAGCATAGGAGGATGCACTATTCGGCCTCCAATTGTGACGAGACCCCCATATCCAAACATGCACTTGTCCAAAATAAATATATTCGGCCATTCTTGTAGCCATAATTCTCCCTAAGGATAAGGCCCCCTAAGACATGCCCCTCGAATGTGACCTTACCAAATCCCTTCGTCTTACATCCTCGGACTTGGGGGAAAAAGTGTATTAGGGAACCTTCTACTATTAAGACTATCCTATTTTAATCAAGGTTAAATAACAAAGGTCTACATTAATCCTAACTAGAACATAAAACCTAGATTACTAGGCTCTGGATTCAAAAGGTCCATCAAGTCCAAGTATGTCATTATAAATACGATATTAATGTGACAGGAAAAGGTAAATATGATTATTTAATACTACAATATTTATTGTTTTGGATCGAGTATTGACTTAAGCGTCGGAGTACCTTTGCAGGTACCCTTCCCCCTTTTTCGGGACAAGGATTCAGGAACAGCTTGGAAGAAGATCAAGTGTCAGAGAACATCAACGTAAGAGTGTTTCCTAGCAAGAACATTATGTAATATTTTAAGTAATACAATAATACAAGATTATAAGAATTTGAGATATAAAAAAATTTGTAAGTTGCTCTAAATTATGTTTTATAAGATAAAAATTAAATAAATTTGATAACATAATCTATACCTATGTATACAATAATGTTTTTATTTATCTGAAAAATATTTTAGATTAAAATAAAAAATATAACATAATATTGGCTCAAATTTTTTGATATTGATTTTAAATTAATTTGACCGATCCTTTACCGATTTCGACCAGTTATAAGAATAGCCAATCTTTTAAAATCATCAATCAATTACCGATCAAACCAGCCTGCTCAATTGTTATAACAATTGTACATTTAGATGTATGACTTTTTATTCAATTTTTGACATATAGTTGTTTGAGTTGATTTCAATGTTATTCCTTCAACAAAAATGTTTTGAATTTTTATTTTTCCGAATGTGACGGTATAACTTATTAGTAATATTATAAATGTCTTGTACTAGCAAGGAAAGTAACTTAATTAAGATATTTTCTTAATAAATTTTTTATTATAAATACTTAAAACTAAATGAGCTATTTATGTTTTGATATTTTTTTGGTATAGAACCTTGAGTAGTCATATCTAGAGCATGAAAGTGTGATTAGTAAGAAACCTGTTTATGTATTCCATAAACCATAGTATTTATGCTATCTGATTATTATCACTTTCACACTTGATTGTATATATTTTTTTTCCAGATATACAATTTTTTGCAAGGCAGCATATACACAGCTGAAAGAAAATTCTCACTCTGGTGTCACGCCAAAACAATGTGAGAATATTCTCCTAAACAAGCAACAATTTATTGTTCTTTTGTTTATCTTGTCTTAGTAGAATCATCCTTCCATCATTGATTCTTCTGATTTAGGGGCTGAAGCACTTGCGGCTTCCATTGCTGCTGTTAGTAAATATGGGGGTGCTAGTGCTGGTTATAGAACATTGCTAGATGCCCTAATTCCAGCATTGTCAGTTCTTCAAGAGGTATCAACAATACTTGTTAATTGATCTTAATTATTAACAGGGCCTTAACACTTATTTTTCTTTGGGCTTACAGAGACTAAATTCTAGTGATGATCCTTCCATTGCCTTTCTTCTCTCTTCTGAAGCTGCATTAGCTGGAGCTGAGTCAACCAAGAACATGCAAGCTCAGGTGACAATCTCATCAATGATTCTTTGCGTTGTAGGTTGTTAGGTACTCATATACTAGGCCATGTGAAAAGATGAGTAAGGGGCAGAAGAGCGATATGGGTTGTTACAACCTTGCCTACCTGGAAATGAAGGTATGAAGGAAGAGGAAATTGTTAGAGGCAAAGATAAAAGGGAGGGAATAGTTTTGGGGACTTTGGATTATGTTATGAGTACCTCCTTATTTTTTTGTATACAGGTTAAATGTAATTTAGATTAAAAAAATAAAATATATTGTGAAATAAAAAAAAAACATCATTCAAATTGATGAGGTCAAAAACCCCCGCTAAACAAAACGCCGCAGAATGGAAAAGGTAGCGGAGGTTGGTAAAAATCGCCGTATAATGCTAGTGGCGAACGTAACTGCGACGTTTTTATAAAACGCCATTACTTATTTTGAGGGAGGCGAAAACCGTCGCAAAATGACGAATTTCTTGTAGTGTCAGTCTTCTCATTATATAATAATAGGATTTTATCTTTTGATTTTATTTTTTCAAATCGATCTTTATACTTACCTTAATTATCTCATATTTTCATATAACCATTTATTATCTCCTATATCTTTTAATCTATTTAGATTGATATTTTAAGTAAACTATTTTATAGTATTTTGGACTAGATTCATAGCCTAGGTAAGACATTAGTCAATCATAAATAGGTTCCGATTGGATCAATTAGCTTATGGTTGATCGATCCACTAGGTCAACAATGAATATATTATCTTTAGGCCTATCAAGGTACAAATATATTTGTTAATAATTATTTAAATAATTTTAAAGTATTTGGATACATATGAACTAGTATTTTAACATGTATAATACACAAGTTAAATATTTATTATATATAACTAAAATCTTAAACAAATTATGTATACAAATAAGTACTGAATATATAAGTTATATTTGAAATTTTGAATAAATTAGTTATTTTTAAATATATAAATTATATTTTAAATTTATGATAAATAATTTATATTGTAATACAAAATTATTTTAAAATATTAAAATTAAATTCATAAATATTTCTGATAAATAAAAATTAAATTGGATATGAAATTAATTATTTTTTTCCGCAAAATAGTCATTTGTCTTTTATATATAAAGTTGATAATTATATGTTATATGAGGTTGTTTGGTTTTAAAATTAAAAATTGAAAGTGAAATTAGAAAAACGTAGGAAAAGTACTTTTTTTTTTTTCTTTTGGGAAAAGTTGTTACGGCAATTTTGACACTTGCTAGGGATTAAGATGGCATTCCCCTGTATATATATAACGAGGCACACAGTGCTTCCATCATTCCAAATCCAAATGACGACTCATTCTCATTCTCACTAATTTTCTTGTTGCTTCTATTTTAATGATTCTCAGTGATATTCCCTCGTTCTTCCGTTAGAATCACGCTCTTCAAATCACTAGTGTTTCGTTATTATGCGCTGTGAAAGCAAATTATTTTTTGTATATCGCTAAAATGTTTTCTATATCTTTTATTTTTTAGTCAAATTATTTTGCTGCAATTTCCAAAACCTAAATCATCTTTACAGCGAGATTTCTTGTGTCTAAGGATGACGATCGATAGTATGGAGGCATTGTTATTATGTTATTGAATGTGACATTTGATGTGCATTGCTATCCTCGTTGGCTGTATTCAGTAGCCTTGCGGGTTTCAATAGTTAAAATAATGCTCAAAATAAAGATTTTGGAGTTTGTCAGGCTTCTTGTGCTGTTCTATATGTGCTTGGAGTTTGGAATATATTCCCACATCTTATATATAATTTTAATAAACATTATTGTATTGTGTCTAACAAATTTTAGGTATAAGACAATCAAGTTTATCGAAATTTTACTTTTATATAATTGATAAATTTTTTTTTAATTTTTTTGAGAATAAAATTATTAATTAAATCTAATAGTTAAAAAGTTGTCTAACATTTCACATAATGATAATTCGTTTGATAATTATTTGTAACATAATCTCAAATTAATCTAAAAGATTAATTTCAAAAAACAATTATAACAATAATTATAAATATTATTTTTTGCATTTAAAAATAAATTTCTAATATAGTTTAATATTGTTCCTATTTGGAGAGTGTTTACGGATTATTTTAGGCAATCAACAAAAATTAGAGCATTTAAGAGTGTAATTTGTTTTTCCTTATCGTAGGATTAGAGTTTTTATGTTTGATTACAATGATCTTATAGGTTTCGAGAATTTTAGACTTATGGACTTCGAGACTTTTGAAATTTGTTAAAGTAATTATTTATTAGCGAGATCTTGACTAATAAAGTTAAGATTTTATTCCGGATAATTAATTCTCGATAAGAATAATTCCGATTTCATTTAGAGGTCAAGTTACTCGATATATAAAAGATATTTCAAGTAAGGTGATCAGTTACCACATCTTGGTGATACTTGGCCATGTCCACTCGGCCTACGGCCTACCCATCTCAACCATCTCGAGTTATATTTGGGATGGTACAAATATTTATAATAAAAAACTAATTTGTTTGTTAGTATTTTTTAGTAATTTTAATTTAGAGAAAAAAAGTCATAATCTCTAATAATACAATTTTTTTTTCAAAATCTTATTTATTGTAATTCAAATAAAAATTTTCAAAGTGGTTTCGTATTTAAAAATAAGCTGTGAATGAAATAAAAGAACTTGACATTTATACATAATAATCAAAATTAGAAAAACATTTTTTTATTAAAATCAAAATAATTAATATAAAATTAGATGTTCTTATCATTATCACCTTTGTTATATTCATTATTACTTTTGTTATTTTTTTTAGTAAAGATAAGAAAGATTACAAAGATGGTCGTAATGAGGATTAAACCTAGTAGTTATGTTATTTTAATATATATGATAATATTTTTATGAAATTTAATCTTTATACTCATTGCAATACCATTTTTTTATTGAATTCAAACAAATATAATATAAAATTTTGTTTAAAATAAAATTTCTTAATCTAATAATTCTAAATCAATATCTATATATAGACACATTTTTAAATATTTGAATAATCTTATGTATTAACAAATAAATTATAAATGATATAATTAAATATATATTTTTAATTATCTAAATATTATATATATGGGGAATGCTAATGTACTCCTACCTATTTTTTAGTGGGAGTATGTTAGCAACCTACACCAATTTTTTAGGACAAAAAAATCACTCATTTATTTTGATTTGGTTAATTCGTACAAAGGATATTATAGTAATTTAATTTAATTTTAAATGAAAATAAAAGATTTTCTCTCTCTTATTAATTTCATTCTCTAAATCATTTCTCTCTTATTAAATTTATTCTCCAACTCATTTCTCTTTCTTATTAAATTCTTTCTCTAACTTATTTATCTCTCTCCTATTAAATTCTTTATTTAACTCATTTCTCTTTCATCTCTCATGATGTCTCCCTCCTCTCTCTCTGAACAAATAAAAATTTATTAATAGAAAAAATAAATGAATTGGAGAATGAAATTAATAAGAGAGAGAAAATATTTTTATTTTCATTTAAAATTAAATTAAATTACTATAATATCCTTTGTACGAATTAACCAAATCAAAATAAATGAGTGGTTTTTTTGTCCTAAAAAATTGGTGTAGGTTGCTAACATACTCCCACTAAAAAATAGGTGGGAGTACATTAGCATTCCCC